GTGTAGGGCACATATGTGGGGCGGAGTGGGGAACCCCTCGCAATAGCGCTAATCCTTGCATTAGCCAGAAATGTAGTTGGTTACTCCCAGAATAATAATTTGGAGACCCTCCGAAATTCTAGTAATAAATTGCGGAGAAGAAGCAATGGCAAGATTTGATCTCTTCCTTCTTTCAAAACAGATGAATGGTACCATTGCGCCTTCTTTAACAAGGGCTACATATATACAGCTTTGCCCCAGCTACTCTACATGCATTACCTTCCATAATCTTTACTAGCAAACAAGTTTTTTGTACTGTCCTCTGCTGTGTTAATTATATTCTTCTTATAAAATATATACAATTAATAAAAATTAACACTGCACCATTTTCAGGCTTCCTATTCAGTTGCTTTTATTTAATTTCCTGAAAATATTGATGCCAACAGGCAAATGAACATGGGCTCCCTTTATAAAGACTAGTTTACTATCATTATGGAGTTTAATATTAATTATCCTCTATACTTCATTGGATTTACTGAAGTGCTTTGCTGGATGGCCTCCAACCACTAACAGGGAAATGAAATTAAACAGAAAGGTTTGGCTACATTTAAGAGTATTGTGTAAGTATTTTAGAGCCGACTTATAATTTAAAAGGTTGTAAACTTAACACAGAGAGTGCAAGTGTCGCGGCTCAACTGTGGCTCTTCAACTCACCATGTCACCGGGAATTGATCATATATCACAAGCAACTTAATCAAATAGAAGATCTTAATAAATGCAGGATGCCTTACAAATGTTTAGCAAAGATTTATAGATCCTAAAACAGTAATAAATGAGTGCAGTCATATCTATAATATTCTGTTTTATAGTCCGAGAAACAAATGCCCTGGCTTAGAGAAGAGGAAGTACTCATTAATTGCTTGAAAAATAGTTGAAGAGAGAACAAACAGGCGTACTGTCTTTCATCTGCCCCCATTTTCCCTATATGCAAGGGAGAGCCTTTGGGATCACTGGGGGGGGGGGCAGAGAGAGGGAGGGAAGGTCAGAGCAAAGGCACCAGGAGAACCATCCTGCAGATACTTAATGTCAGGACCAGAAAAGGTCCAGACTTGGAGTTAGGGTGGCCATTTACACTTTTCCAAAGAGGAGGAAATACACTGTGGGAAAAGGCACTGATTTGCATAAAATCTGCATATACTAATTGATGTGCATGCATTTATAAATATTTATCATCATGTAAATAGAAATAACATACACCAGAACTTCAGGAATGGAGTTGGGAAGGTGGAAGGCGAGCTTAGCATTTGCATGGGGTGAGGAGGGAAAAGGAGACACGGGTGGTGCTGTGGTCTAAACCACTGAGCCTCTTGGGCTTGCCAATCAGAAGGCTGGCAGTTCAAATTCCCGCAACAGGGTGAGTTCCCGTTGCTCGGTCCCTGCTCCTGTCAACCTAGCAGTTCGAAAGCACGCCAGTGCAAGTAGATAAATAGGTACCACTCTGGCAGGAAGGTAAACGGTGTTTCCATGCGCTGCTCTGGTTTCGGTGTTCTGTTGCACCAGAAGCAGCTTAGTTATGCTGGCCACATGACCTGGAAAAACAGTCTGTGGACAAACGTCGGCTCCCTCAGCCAATAAAGCGAGATGAGCGCCGCAACCCCAGAGTTGTCTGCGACTGGACTTAACTGTCAGGGGTCCTTTACCTTTACCTTTTAAGGAGGGGAAAAAAATCTAGGAAGTTAATGTGGGGGGAAATGACAGTGGAGTTGGCCCATGGTGCAGTCAGGGGCACAGCCCTAAGGTGGGTATTACTGGAACTACACAGGCAGAAGTACTACATAGCATTGATTGGGCATAGGTGCAACAATATCTTTCAGCTAACTTAGTCAAGTTAGTGCCTGTCAGGCCTCAATAGGGTGTGTTGGGGGGAGTTAAGTTTTATTTATTATGATATTTGATTTGTTCAAATGATTCAAGCTAACTGTTTTCAATTCTGTTTTTCCTTCCTCTATAAAACTCCCTATCCCATTGTAAATATGCTTGGATTGGCGGCAAGGTGGGGTGGGGGGAGGAATAATTTGCTCCCAGAGTCAATAACGTGGTTTACAACTTGTCTCAGGTTTCTCAGAGATTGTTCGTGCCAGAGTAAGTTAATATATTTGGATCCTGGCCCCTGTTCATGCTTGTTCTATTGGCAGAAAAGTTACAACATAATTTAGGAGCCATTCAACTACATCCAAACCATATTTTAAAAAATGTCAAGCAGAACAACATTTTCAGTAGCTCCCAGGAATATCCTGTGGTAGAACATGAAAAAACAAGCATTTTCATTTGCAGATAAGGTTACAGTATGCCTATCTTCCAATGTACATGAACAGAGAACAAATTAGCACTTGCCAGTTGTGGCTGGCAGGCAAAAGTTCAAAGTTTATTAAGTTCAGGACAGGCTGTTCATTTGGCTTAGGGATAAAAGCTGGAAAAATGGTTTCGTTTGGAAATCCAAACAGCGCCGCCTCAAATTCAACTTGGTTAGTTGGCCGGGGGCGGGGCATGTAGCTTGGAACATTGGCTGCACTAAACAAAAACATTTTTTTTTAAAATGCACTGAAGGATTCTTGCCAATGAGCCATGAAGACAGTGAAATGGGGAGGGGAGGGAGAAGGTGAGAGGAGCCCCTCTAACATATGCAGATAAATTATGGGTGACGACAGATGTAAAATTAAAAGAGGGCTCATGGTGGGTTCTTCCCAGATTTGCAATTATGGAACTGACAGAAGAGCATGCCAGGGAAACGAATGATGCTTCCAGCTGCTAGCCGTACCTCTTCCCACCCCCCTCCTCCTCTGACTGGAGAAATTTGACAAGTCACCCGGCATGCAAAGGCCCAACATGGAAAGTGGCTGCACTGCTTCCATCTCAGGTAACCAGCTGTGGTGCACGTGGTTCTCCATCTGGAGAACTAGAGGGCCAAGGGATAAAGGCAGTTGGCGATTCAAGAGGTGGATTTGGTTCAACCTTTGATTCTCTGCTTTGCTCTTCTAGTTTCGTTAGGAAATCAAGATTGTAGTGTAACTGAAATATGCTTTGTGAGTCTTCTTTTTATCTTAGAGAACAGGTACCTGTAGCCATCCAGATGTTGTTGGACTACACCTCCCATAATCTCTGAGCATTGCTCGTGTTGACAGTGGCTTATGGGAGCTGGCGTTCAACAAGATCTGGAGGATCACAGGTTTGGCATCCCTGTATAATAGAGAGACTTATACAATTGCAAGGAAGTCAAAATATGGTCAGCTACTCCCTGGATGTTGTAACAGCAATGACAACTGCACATAGAAAAGAGGGAAGTTTAGGACAGAGTCTGCTTCCTTGGTGATATGCTACCTTTCACTGAGCAGGTACATTGTGAACTGAGAAACATGAGATTCTCCTCCTGCCGTGTGAAATGATGCCATCCTATACACTGAATAGCATGTGGTTTAACTGCATATGAAGATTGACCCGGTGAATTTGCGAGAGGAAACAAAAGCCTCTGGATTAGACGGCCGAGTTCTTTCCTAGACATATTTCTGAAATAGGCTGCCATTTTCCCCACTGTTGTGTGAATATTCAGCAAAACGTGATATTATTAAAGACAATGGAGGGTATAATCAGACTGGGGTTGCAGCTCTGCTTGTTAAGAAATTCAATATGAGATGAGAAGACATATAGCATGAAAGAGAAGCTCAGCCTGGGCTATGATAAATTTTCAAAGGCATGTAGAATTGTGTGTGTCTTTTATATAGCCTTCTCTGTATTTATTACAGATTGCTTGAGGTTATAATTGTTCTTAGGCTATATGCTTGCTTTATTTTCTTGGTTTATTCACTCTGCAAAGCGCCAGGGACCTGAGGCAGTCTCCAGTGCCTTACCTCCAAGTCTCCTGCACCATGAAGTCTCCTGAAGTGCAGACTGAAAGGTGTAACCCAAAGATCTAACCCCAAAGTGCCAAGCAAGGCATTCCAGCTGACTCACCACCCAGTCAGGTGACTCAAGTCACTGTCTCTGACTGGAAGTTGCCTCACAAGTATGCCATAGCCAGGGTAAGTGAGAAATGAGTGGTTTACCAGCACACTGCAAAGGGCTACAGAAATATTGAATAACGCCCACCATATTATTTGTCATTTTGTGTCTCTCTGTGTGTGTGTGTTTAGTTAACAACTGCATGTGCATAGTTCCTGAAATATAAATGCACATCACTTAGAAGAATAATCTCACCTTGTGTTTGGGCATAGCCCCAAAATTAGAAAAATGCATCACCAAATGAGGTAAAAGCGGGCACAGTCTTGTACAAAATCTGCAAACTGATTTATGCAATTTACATAATCTAGGCATTGAAGCAGCAGTTAACAGTAGCAAAATGAAGGCAGGTGTATTTCTACTATCTAAGTTACAAAACTAAAATATCTAAGTTCAAAATGGTGTTTAACATGCATGGCTTGGAAGCATGTGAAAGAAAACAGAGAGATGCCCAGGCAGGAAGGAAGTGATCTCACAAAGTTCTCTCTAGCAAATTTTACAGGAAGGCTCTGTGAATTTCAGCCCCTCCATGCTCCTATTTGGCAAAATGTGAATTGTTGGTTTGACTGCAGTAACGTCCCACATTGCTCACCTGGTTTTTCAATGCTGTCAGTAACCAAAGGGGCAGGGAGGTTGGCACAGTATGGTTGCAACAATGGAAATAACAAATTGGCTTTGTGGCTGCACTTTCACCACATTGACCTCACTGCCATGTCTCCCCTCCCTTATGTCACTTTTGGTTGCTGGCAGTGGCTGCCATGTTGGGAAGCTAGGTTAAGCAACGCTGCCCAAGGACTGCTACTGCTCTTATGAAATGAAGTTTGTGATTGCATTGGCCGTGGTCAATGGATTGTGTGGTTTGTTCCACGTGGTAGTTAGAACCATGAGGATATGTGTCACACTCAGTGGACTTTTGACATAAGAAACACCAATGTGCTTACAATCTAAAAGTTGATGCAGGAAGAACAGAGGATGTAGCCCAATGGCAGAGCTTCTGCTTTGCATGTAGAAGGTCCTAGGTTCATTCCCTGGAATATTCAGGTAGGACTGGGAGAGATGCCCTGCCAGAAATTCTAGGGAGTCAACACTAGTTGGTGCAGACAAGCAGGGCCGTCTTTACCCAGGTGCCAAATTCTGGGGCGCCACCAAATGTATACCTACTGTATACTGGTCCCTCTTGATTGGCGGCAGTGAAAAGCAATGGAGCGAAAGACCCCGCCCCCCTCCTCCGTTGCTCTGTTACTCCGTAGCATCAAATATTCCTGACGTTTTTTCCTCTGCATTGTTGTTACAGGCGAGCGATTTCTCCCCTAAAAAAAGGTCAACAACTTTGGCTTCCCCCTTCGCAAAAAAAGCTGAAAAAAAGTTAATCTGGGGGCGCTGGGAAGATCTTTGTACCCTGGCGGAACATATGCTAAAGGTGGCCCTGCAGACAATACTGAACTAGATGGACCAAGGGTCGGATTCAGGTTGCGTTCAGATGCGAGGTTTGTTGTGTTGGTTTTACTGATATAATGCTAACACTTCTGTCCCGATTGCTAAAGTTCCTGTTGCACTGAAGTACCTGATGTGGCTTTTTGATCGGTATACAGTGGTACCTCGGGTTAAGTACTTAATTCGTTCCGGAGGTCCATTCTTAACCTGAAACTGTTCTTAACCTGAAGCACCACTTTAGCTAATGGGGCCTCCTGCTGCTGCCGTGCCACCGGAGCACGATTTCTGTTTTCATCCTGAAGCAAAGTTCTTAACCCAAGGTACTATTTCTGGGTTAGCGGAGTCTGTAACCTGAAGCGTATGTAACCTGAAATGTCTGTAACCGAGGTACCACTGTACACAACCATGTCTACTAATTTTTAAATGGCGGAAAAGAACTGAATGGTGGGATACTTCCCTAGATTTCCCTAGACATGGATGGTGTCAGTATGATCATGAAAAATGTGGGGAAGTTATAACACAAAACTCCAGCTGACTTTTCTGAGTTAAAGAGTATACAAACATTTCTTCTTCTTCTGGAAACGGCTAACATGGACATGAACACTAACCATCTTCTAGATTCCAGGAGTGGCTTTTATGTCATGTGAAAGACCGTCTAAAAATGATAATAAAAGGGAGGAATGTGGAATAAAGTGCCACCTGAATGCATCCTCAGTATAAGGCAGCTTGCCATGTTCTTAGGAGGAAGAATACAGAAGTGGAGGCAGGGGTAAAAAATCTGTGGCCATCTCAGTAACGTTAGGGTCACCATATTTCAAATAGTAAAAACCAGGACACCCCAAAAACTGAAACGCCAGAAAAACACGATTTTTGGATTGACTTGCCTAAGATCCAGGACAAATTCAGAAATTCCCCCTGGACATCAATTCTGCCTTTGAAATCCCAGTAATGTCCAGAAAAATCCAGAAATATGGCAGCCCTAATTACTGTAATGTCTGCTTAGCTATCAGCATAGTTATAATAAGGGTGAGAGCTATTGGTGGTTATGCTAAAGGTTTGATGGGAAAGGTGGGTTTTGAGAAGGAATTTGAAGGAAATATGAGAGGGTTTAGAAAAAGGTATGCTAGTGGTGACATAGAAGCTAGCCAGTTGGCACTCTCTAAGGCTGGTTCAAACTGAACTGTGATACAAACCAGCTGAAAAGGGTTTTCAGGGCTCATCAGGGAAGAAAGAGATGATACGTTCATACTGAACATTGGTGATGGAGCTTCCAAGCTGGCTTCACTGCTCTAAAAAGGTTGCTTATTTCTTAACCATCTTTTCCCAGCACACTTTCCTCACAAGGAATCTATCTCTTGGAAAGACTTGCCCTTGGAGTGGGAAGTACGAAATTCTATCTGCAGCATTGTTAATGCGTCTCTGTACAGGAGAAATGGAACCATTTCAACACTGTTGATCAAAATAAATGTTCCAATTGACCTAGTTAGAGAGAAGAGATATTGCTAAGCAATGCCTTACTCCATTAAAGGGTTAATATTTTTTGCATGCTATTCTTCCCCCCTCTTTTTCTTTTCTTTTTTTTTTGAAAAGGCTTATTTAAATGTTTATCAGTTGTGCAAAGTGGAGCAGCACTAGAGAGACACAAGGGAAAACTGATCATTGCCTATGCATGGCATCGTTGTAGGAAGATTAAAATAACATTGAGTATATTCTGTAAATGAAGGAGAGAACTAAAAAAAAGCCTCCAGAGTCCATTATAAATTTTAATAATACATCAAGGTAATGTAACTGAATAACCGATCTCTGAGGGAAGAAACACAACATTTGGCTAATATTACAATTTAAATTATGAAAACAAAAAGAGCTTTTAGTTAATCTTGTCTTTCTGCTTTTATTCTTCAGGCTTTTTTATTTTTTATTTATTTTTCCCTGAATCCAAAACACCATGTAAACAAATAAAAGTATGGGAGAAAAATAAACAGTTTGGCATCTCAGTAGATTAATTAATGCGCTTCAGCCTTGGCACCAGTAGGCGAAAATTATGTGCATAAATAATATCACTAATTAAAAAGATGCAGATTAACATGCAAATAATGTTAATGAGGATCTGCAATTCCAGAGTGGATTCGCATAACATCAACAATTTAATGGGTTGGAAGGCTTGTGTTTGCATTACATTAATAAATTTCAAAGACCTTGCATAAAAAAGTTCTGTCGGAGCCTCTGTATCCCACTTGTGAGTTGTAAATTCTGTGGGCAGTTGCAAGCACTCATCGGCAGATGCCCAAGTCATTATCTCAAAGGCTGCTGAGAAGGTGCCGTGCGCCAGTGTAACCAGCTGTTGGGAACTGGGCAGTGGGCACCAGGACCTGCCAATTATTCATATTATTTGGGGAGTCTTGATATTTATTTAAAATGATTAATATTTTGTGCTCTGCATCTTGATCTGAAGGGAAATCATTTTTAGCAAGTAAAGTTGTTCTCTTTTTTTCTGTTCTTTTTTCCCCCTTCAAAATATCTTCTTAGCCTTTGATGTGTCATGGATGGTTGAATGCATAATGGAATTGATTAAGCAGACATAATTTCTAACCATGGGCAAAACAATATAAGATGTCTTTCATGATGTAATCTAATGCCGAGATAAAAATATAGCTGCATCAAAAATCCAAATGAGTCATAATAACCCAGATTTTATTTTAATTTTATTTTTTGTTACACAATGAAAAAAAAAGTCTTCTATTGCTGTTCTTATAAATGGGGCGGGGAGGCAGGGAGCTCTTCTGAACAGCAAAGCGTAGGGAAGATTAGCACAAACCTTCTTCTTCTTTTTAATGCCAAATTGCTCAACATAGGCCTTTTTTTTAAAAAAAATATGCCTGAGTTTTCATTATCTTTTGAAATATGATATAAATAGAGCTGATGTACTATAGCAGTTAACAGTGCAGGCCTATATATGTCTACTCAGAAGCAAGTTCCATTGAGTTCAATAGTGATTACTTCAAGGTAACGATAGGATGGCAGATTAAGTGACTGAATCACAAAGCCCCTGGTTTGAATCTCACCATGGCCATTATATCCCTAAGTGACTTTAGATTCTCTCACCCTCAGTCCTCCTACCTGATGAATGGAAATAATAATAATGACTGTGAGGAGAACCCCAGCCACGTACCCTGGTAAAGTTTTGTTTTAAGGGAATTAACACAATTATATTTACAGTAGACACTTGGGTTGCGAACGTGATCTGTGCGGGATGCACGTTCGCAACCCGCAGCGGCGCGTCTGCGCACATGCGGGTTGCGATTCGGCACATACGCAAAGCGCGATTTAGCACTTCTGCGCAGGCGCGACTGCCGAAACCCGGAAGTAACCCGTTCCGGTACTTCTGGGTTTCGGCGGTCCGTAACCTGAAAAAACTCAACCTGAAGCGTCTGTAACCCGAGGTATGACTGTATTATTAATTAATTAATTAATTAAATTTATATACCGCCCTTCATCAAAAGATCTGAGAGCAGTTCAGAGAATAAAATATAAGAGAAAACACAAGTAAATGATTAAACCAAAAACAACGAAACAATAACCCCCACTTCCCACAGACACATTTAAAAGGCTGGAGAATATTTAATCAACCAAAGGCCTGGTTGAAGTAGAAGATTTTTGCCTGGCGCCCAAATAATATATAATGAAGGTGCCAGGCAAGCCTTCCTGGGGAGAGCATTCCACAAACAAGGAGCTACTGCAGAAAAGGCCGGTTCTCATGTTGCCACCCTCTGGGCCACTCGTGGAAGAGGCACACAAAGAAGGGACTCAAATGATCAATGCAGAGTCCGGGGCGGTTTGTATCTATATAAAGATTTAACTGTATATGACAGGCATAGGCAAACTCCAGCCCTCCAGATGTTTTGAGACTACAATTCCTATCATCCCTGACCACTGGTCCTGTTAGCTAGGGATCATGGGAATTGTAGTTCCAATACATCTGGAGGGCCGGAGTTTGCCTATGCCTGGTATATGAGCTACCTTGGGCTTCACATATACAAGGTGGCTGACAGCTGAACTGTCATACTAAAGGTAAAGGTAAAGGGACCCCTGACCATTAGGACCAGTAGTGGCCAACTCTGAGGTAGCGGTGCTCATCTTGCTTTATTGGCCGAGGGAGCCGGCGTACAGCTTCCGGGTCATGTGGCCAGCATGACTAAGCCGTTTTTGGCGAACCAGAGCAGCACACAGAAATGCTGTTTACCTTCCTACTGGAGTGGTACCAATTTATCTACTTGCACTTTGACGTGCTTTCGAACTGCTAGGTTGGCAGGAGCAGGGACCGAGCAACGGCAGCTCACCCCGTCGTGGGGATTCGAACTGCCGACCTTCTGATCGGCAAGTCCTAGGCTCTGTGGTTTAACCCACAGCGCCACCCGTGTCCCAACTGTCATATTAAGTTGTGGTAAAACAAAGGTAGCTCCAGGACCAAGGTTTCTGTCTTTATGCATTGACATGGTAGATTGAAAACTAGTGAGACTGAATGTGTCAGTCAATGGAAATTCTGCCTCATACCATTGGACCAGGGTCATGGCCTGATTTCTTTTTGGAAGACAGGGGGCATTCCACC